TCTCCTACTCCATCGGTAACGCTCCCTGTGCCATCAGCAGAGGCAGGGCTGCTTTATCTCCCCCCGAAGCAAGAGGGTGGTAAATGGGGTCTGTGTTTTCCCCAGTGCATGGATTTCAAGGTGGCTGCTTCTCTTCCCTGTGGTTGGCATGCGGTTACAGAATCCTGTGGCCTCTGGCTGGGGCTGGGCTGATGCTACCGGCTCAGCAAGGAACACCCACGCTATGTCCCCTTTGTGTCCCTTTTCTAGAGGAGCTACGCCAGCGGGGCTTGCAGGAGTGGCTGGCGTCGCTGTCTTTCGATAACCCTGATTGTCCTGACGTGCAGCTGACCATGGGGGCAGTGATTGTGGAAGAAATTAGAGTGGCTGTCGAAGAAGCCACTGGATTCAGGTGTTCAGCTGGCATCTCGCACAACAAGGTAGGTGCATAACACGTCAGCCTGATTTCTTCTGAGTAGCAGAGTCAAAATATGCTGTAGATGCTCTCCTATAGACACAAGTCTCCTATAGAAGATGAGCCAAGTGGGGAATGCAACCCTGTGTGATCACACCTTCAGGGAAATTATAGGACATCTGGAAATGAGAGAAGTTGTTTTCCCAGAGATGTGGCCTGTCGTTTACTGCCTGGATTCCTGGGGTACCGTAATGAGTGAGCTCACTTGGAAAAAAAAGGGATTTAAGTCCCCCAGAAGTGTTTTCTGTAAAAAACCCACAAGCTTAAAGCAGTAATCTCCACCTTGAGTTTCTGGCAGCCGTGGCTGTAGCCAGAGAATGGTTTTTACTGACACAAATTCCTGGCAACTCAGAAGAACAGCAGCATCAGTTTGGGGCTCTGAGGTGGGCTGGGTTGCTTTTCCCCTTTCTGGTCAGTCGTTCTGTACCCTGCTGGCCACGCTTTGGGTACTGCTCAGCCAGCTGCTGAGAGCAGCCGCAGGAGCACTTGGTGCGTGACAGCAGCTGCAGAAATAAACGGACTTTGATGCTGCAGCTACAGAGGGTTTCCTGCAGGGTGAAATGCTGGGTGGTTTGCTGAGAGCACCCCTTTCATTCTGCAGAAAAAAGGCCTATCTGTATAGGTGTGACTTAAAAAATGCAGGCTCTGACAAAAAAAAAAAAAAAA